ATTTAGAAATCTAGTGCATCTTTAAAAATAGTTGAACTTGAATCTAAATTCTTTGACTATATCCTGTTAGTTTTTCTACAGCGTCAATGTAAAATCCTGCATCTGAGCTGGAATAACCCCAGGCAACAGTCCAAGCTGACTAGGTAGCAGCTTGGCAAAGAAAAAAACAGATGTGTTTGTGGACAAGTTGGACATACGTTAGCAGGGTGCTTTTGCAAAAGTGACGGCCAACTGCGTATTGCGCTGCATTAGCAAACCACCACCAGAAGGCTGGAGGAAGTGATTATTCCTTTTTGCTGAACGCTCATGAGGCCACTTCTCAGTACGGCGTCCAATTTTAATCCCTCTCCAATATAAGAAAGACCTTGACAAATTACAGTATGACCAGTGCTGCTAAATGATTGAAGGACAGGATGTACCAGGATGGGTTGAAGGAACTGGGCTTGTTCAATGAGGAGAAAGGAAGGCTTAGGGGCATTTTTATTGCTGTATTGAACTATCTGAAGAATTGTTACAGAGAAGACAAAGCCAAAGAGGTGCATAGAGAAAGGATAATGGCAACCCTCCCAAGTTGCAATTTCACTGCTGTATCTTCTGGTGTTCTCATTGGTATTATCCCAAGCTCTTCAGCTCTGCTTTTTCTTTTTAGTGGACCCTCTCTAATAAATCTCTCCAGGTGTGGTCTGTGAATTCCACTCAACAAGATCAAAAAGCAGTTCTTATAGTCAAGCAGAGAGAACTTCCCCTGCCTGAGCCCTTGGTTTCTCCTAGAGCTTTCAGGCACATCAGAGTCTCTTTTTATCCCATACTTCAGGAAAATGCGACTGGCCATGTGCCAGAACCGATGTTCCATGATTCCCAGCTGAGCATGTGAAAAGATGATACAAAGCATTTGTCTCCACAGCTTAAAATATCTGCCCATGCTTTTGCTACCTGTCATCTTCCTAACCTTCTCAGGAAGCTCTTGCAGGCAATTTCCTCACTTCATAACTGGATTTCTTGCTGCTGGCTATTTTGGGTTCTGCCTGGGGGATACCTGCAAAGCTAAGGATCATGTGGCCAAGGCTTGCAGTCATGGATAGGAGTGTAGTAGGTATTGCAGAGAATGCGTATGTGAGGTGGGACAGGGGGTCTCCCTGCGTGGTGAGAGGAGGTTGTTGAATGATCTCCATTAGCTGTTGCACAACTGGGCTATTCTCATCTGCTAAATAACAAAACGTCTCAAGCAAACACAAATTCAGATAATGGATTCCTGTGATCACCATATTTTTCTGAAATAACATCACCGCACATTAATGCCAGCTTTGATTTGTTTCATTTGATTCTGGCTTCTTTTTTTGAAGGTGAAAAGTGCAGCTGAAGGGACCAATGGCAAAATTAACTTTGCACAGTAAATTACATCTGCATTATGTTTTAAATAAGCTACTGCTATTTTAAATCAAGCTCCTTTTCCTTCAGTGTTCTTAATTATATAAGTGCTGTGCTCCAGAGCTTTCTATTAAGCGAAGTGTTTTAAAATGAGTCTTAAATAATTTAAGTATCTCTTTTCTGAAATACATCTTTTCCTGGAAGAATTTCTGTCAATTTTATGCCTTCTTGGGAAGAAAATAAAACAGAGAAAGTATTTTATTATTCTATCAACAGTCTTACAAGAGTAGGAAAAAATGTGCAACAGTAATGTTCTCCATTCGACAGCAGGCACACACTAAGAAAAATCTATAATAATGTAATTTGCCTTCTTCACATCCCTCCCAACTCGAATGAAGTTAAAAAAAAAAAAAAGAAAACCGGGAGACATTTCTTATTCCGAACTGATGTGAAGGAGGATGTTGTATTTGTTGTCGGTCTGAAGCCTGCCTGGCTTCAGCTAGTACTTCGCCCTCCAGGAGAAAAGGGACCTGGAGCCTTGATATCAGCACCCTGATACTGGAGACAGAAAAGTGAATGCTGCCCAACTCCTCCTCATGAAAACTTTATGGCTTTAGTGTAGACTGGGCACCTGCTCTGACAGGCCGGGAGTTTGTCCTTTCCCTGAATGGAGGACAGTTTAGTCCCATTCTCCAGCAGTTATGCCCCAAAGGCAGTGGCCAAAGTAGCAACAGCACAACCCAGGTCTGAAAATGGCTGGTACTGGCCTGTGGGGAATGGACTGAACATGGTGTTACTGCTCTCCCTGAAGGAAATTAGCTGTGACGCAAAGGGGACGTAACACAGTGGCAATGACACCGTAGTCTGCATGACACACCTTCTTTTGATAAGGCCCCACTGTTCCTTTAAATCATATTGGGAGTGTACTTACACTACCACCCCTACAGATTTCCCCAGGTGTGTTAGCAAAATTAGGTGATGTACACCTTTATTTCACCTGATCCTATTAAGCTCCTCCTTAGGAGGAGGAGAATGAGATGAAGTGAGTGTGACCATGTTGACACGCAAATTAGTTTTCCAACAAATGGTAGTACTAAGTATTTCTTTGGTCTGTCATATATGAAGGAGACCAGAAGAGACAGATGTGATGATAAACAAAGCTCGGCCCAAACGTAAGCAGCTGGAAATGGATTTCCATGAAACGTGTCATGCCGTGACTGGAGCAGGTTCATGTCATTGAGTTGTACATCTCCAGCACTCTGAGGGATGGCTGGAGGGCGACCAGCCCCTTCCAGTTTCCAGCTCTGCATAGATGATGCAGTCATACCCAGTCACTGACTTAACCAGATACAGAACTGCGCCCAAGATTGTAAGATGCTTTCTTCTTAGGTGACTGCAATGACTTTGTGCCTTGGTGCTTTCCCACGACAACTCGCTGGTGCACTTTCTGCCCAGAGAGCACCGCAATGAACTGAATCACTTTTAGACTGTAACAACACATTAAGGGCATGCCATGACAGCAAGCAATGCCACACAGCTATTTATGCTACCATAAAGAGGAGGCAAATATAAACTCTAGGTATTACGTATGAGATGCTGTTTCTTCAGATATAAAGGTACAATAATATTCAAATACGATATTGTTGTTTGATTTAGATAGGAAGCAGTGTCGTTTCTAGAATAGCTAAGTAATGTATGTGAAAGAACTTAAAGCCAAAAGAGTGCAAACTGACAAAGGAAAACCTAGAAAGATGACAGGGACGATGCCTGTCTCTGTGTTTGAGATTGGGCACACACACTGCCCTCTGACACAGTAACTCGCCTCAGAGAAGGCAAGGTCGTGTCTAACCTCAGCAGTGGGGCACTGTGGCTGCACAGCTGCACTGCAGTCATAAGGTGTAAGACTGTACAAGTGCCATCTGAACACTTCCTAATGATCACATCGAAGCAGGACAAAAATAAGTTTGGTTCCTGGGAAATTAGGAGACAGGTCCAATATTTGCATAAGTGGCTATGGTTTCCTGGGGCACAACCACTGAATTTTCAGGAGCAAGAAACCTAAATAGGAATCTGCTCCCCTCCTCTTTTAAGTAGCTCCCATGGAAAGGCTCCCTGGGCTCACACTAATCAGAGGCAAAATTATACCAAGTGTCATCCAGAGCAACAGCAGGGCGAATCCGAGTAAAAGCAGGCCAGTTCAGCATCTGGCAGGGTCTGTTTAGCACAAAACATGATTACAATCCAGAGTGTTTATTCATGCTCAAATTGCACAACTTGGTTGTTTATACCAATAAATGTCTCCTTCTTTGTGCAATGCACGTGAGGTTCTGAAGGCCACATTTGGTTTAAAGTCCTCTTCAATAACAGTAAAGAAGAAATTGGTTTACAACTTTATGCTCCAAGTGATCCAAAGCCTACTTATTCTGATGCATTTCCTAACAGAAGATTAAGCATAGTTCTACTGATGCCAGTGACGTTATGCTGCCCCTCAATGAACATAAACAGAAAGATGAACAGGCCCATGATATTTTACGGCAGCAAGGGGGTCATATACCATCATATTTGCTGTGTTATGCAGCACACTACATCTGAGTTCTAGTGTCTATCAAAATATGTAACTAATTATTTCCTGATGCTTTTGGAAATCAAAGCTCAGTTAAAAAGTTGGGTTTAGATTGATTTTTAGGCATTCTATCACAAAAGACATAACAGCAAACAACACATACCTAACATGTACATTGGCAAATTCAAATGAGCCCACAACCCAGTCTGTCTTGTTCTTCTATTGATCCTTTTTGTCTCATATTTTAATTTGAACTCTGTGAGCCAAAATAAAAAAACCCTTTGTTCTAAGTTTGTCTAGCGCTTACACAAGAAGGTCATGAGAAAGACTCCTAGGCACTCATAGACAGTAATACTACTAATAAACTACTAGTAACACTACTGCTGCTGCAGTACTGTGAATGCCTACAAATGTCCTTTTGAAGCAGAAATGGCAATAGGTTTGGGGGAAGAAAGAGGACTGGGTTTTGAAGACACGCTGGAAATACTAATGGCTGTGGTTAAACGACCCACCCACCCTTTGATGGCAGGCAGATGGTGAATTTGGGGTTTTTTGTCACTCAGTAGGTTCCCCCTTCACACTACCTCTAACCAAAGCCTGCCACTTCCTCTGCTGTCTTTGCTCCAACAAAATGTTCCCTTTGTGCCGTTGCAATCCACTTTCCTCTAAAGATCCCATGGGGACTTCTGGTGCTCATCACCGTCTGGTGCATTCCAAATCCTTACCGTGCCCACAAAGCCTTTGTGCGAAAGGAAACAAGTGCTGGTGGTGGCTGAAGTGTCCTCCCTTTCCTAAGCAGGTATACATTTTAGCATGCCTGTCGTTACATCATTTTACATCATCTCTGTATTTGGAACTCCCTGAGAGATGAATAAGCAGTTGGCACCATCTCTGGGTATTGGCATGGTGGGCTTTCCTGATGATTTTTTGCCAAAAGGCATTTCTCCAACAAGGAGAACTATCAAAAAAACTAATATGCTGCTAGACATAAACCAAAAGAAAATGCTTTCCTGCTAGAAATGACATAAGTAATCAAAAGTGAAAGATGACAGAAAATCACTGTACTTACTATGTGTCGTGCTGCAAACACTCCATCAACTATTGCACAACAGAACGCAGCTACCACGCCAAAGCTGATAAACACGATGGAGGCTACTAACTGAGAAAAGAAAAACAGATTGAGTAACATTTTCAATATAATTCTTTAAGTAAAACAATTACACTAATTTTTCTAGTATTCTTAAGTAGTTTTCCCCTACTGTAATTCACTTTAGATCAGTGTGGCAGGATGCCAGTCACACAGTAGGAAAAAGGCAGAAATTCTTGATGCTGGGTTGACATACCATCAAGTCTACTAGAAAAGCTTAAATCTTTCTAGAGAAAATTAGGTTAGTTGTAAGAGTTATTAAATTCCATGGTGATTTCTTCTAAATCAACTTATTTACTAAAACAGCAGTGGTGTCCATAGGGAGCATGGCAAAAAGCCATGTTCCTGTTGGCTCACATCAACCTCTAGAGCTTTACTACAGTGGTAGTAGTTCACACATACAGATAAAGACATTGTAGTAAGATAATAACTAGCCTGTGAACTCTCAGAAAACTTTTATCATCCCAAATAGCTTATGATACCTTATGCCACAACAAAATCAGAGACTCATAGGACTGGTACCTCTGGAAGGGCTGGAGTGTGCTGCCTTGGCCCCTGCCCTTGTTGGGGCTCTCAGCCTGTCCCTCAGCCTCAGAGTGGGCATGGCAGAGCACAGCAGAGCTCAGTACATGTCCCAGCTGCAGCGCAGACAGTACACTGTCTTTGATAGCCTACCAACCGTAGCTTCCTGAACCTCATTTTACCTCCCAAGCTGCTTCATTCATTAAGCATTATTAATTCTTTATTAATGGGGCTGCAGATGGTGTAACATTAGAGCACTGCTCTAGCACAAGCGGTGGTGGTACGCAGGGCTTGGGGGAAAAGGCTGTGCAAGTTGGGCATGCTGAGCCCCCTGCTAGCCGTGCTCACTTTATGTCCGAGGATGACTACAGCTGCAGCTCTAGCAGCAACTGCAGGGCTAGCGCAACCCCAGATATGGCAAGCTTACTGCCCAATTCACTCTGAAGAGAGCAATAGGACTTGGAAAGGATGAGCACTGGTATGCATCTCCATCAGAGACCAGTCAGTGTGCTGTTAGCACACACTCTTGAGATGGCACTGGCTTGTTTTGATGGCATGTCTGAAGGACGCAGTGCTGTGAGCGAGGTGAGATGAAGTGAGTCCTGAAAGACAAACCCTGTGTACGCCTGGCAAAGCGTTCCCCTTGGGCTCATTAGCCCCAACACCATCAGATGAGGGAGAGATGCTGTCACTCCTTCCTCACTCAGATTAGAGGGTTTTGTGACTTTGAGAATTCTGTACCTTGAGTTTGGATGAGTGGGTACCTGCAGGATATAAGGTGAACCTAATGTGCACTCTCTAGCTATGTTTTTAATATAAGTTAATGTACATCTCTCAGGTCTCTGGCATTTCTGACGCGAAGTCACAAAAGGAACCCTCAGAAACATCCTACGTGATAGCTTAATTTTTATTTACAACAGTATTAAGCTATAGTTAATAACTGCAACAGATTAAAAAAATCCCTTGAAAACCGACGGAACAGTGTCCTTAATTGACAGAGCACACGGACCAGGGTTTCAGCTAAGAATTTGGAACCTCTTTGTTATTTACCAGTCATTAATTGCTCCTTCACAACATGTATTTCAGAAATGCTCAGGTATAGATTGCCAAAATTACATCCATACAGTTCATATATCTCTTTTACCTATACAAAATTTATATCTGCATTACCGAAATACTATCTTCACATGTGTAAAATTTGTAAGGCATCACAAACCCACTTGACAAATGGACTCTTTAGCTTATGTTAGGCTTAGAACAGTACAATGTCAATAGTGTCAACAGGGGACACAGCATTGATGACTTCCTCAAAAAAATGCATATGGGCAGGTAAGAAATTACAGCCTTATAAGCCCATAGCATTGGACACAAAGATCAAAGCAATATCAAACATTTGGAAATAAGAGCTATTGGGGAATCAGCAAAAAGTGCAACTTAAAAGCAGAAGAATCACAGCTTTCAAATGCTTTCTGATCCACTCTTTTAATCTCTCATTAGGTCATGGCTCTTAGATCATGTAATCAGAGGTGAGCCAGCACTGCCACAGGGATTGCTGTGTAATCTGAATCCTCAGCGTGGGGAGGAAGGGGGCACACAGAAGTGGCTGAGGCTGATGGCACTGCCTGATCCTGGGAACCTGCTGCATCCCCCCTGCAGCCAGCTCCATCCTGCCGTAAGGAGGCAGGAACCCTAAGAAAGCATTGTGGCTGCATCACCCTTCAACCTCCACTATCCCTCGGCTCCCCAGTATAGCGGGTCATGTCTCATGAATGTGGTTGTCTAAAGTTCTTGGCGTGCAACTCATCAGATCAAGAAGGCTGTGGGCTCCTTGTAGAGAGCTATTGTCACTGCAGATAAGAGGGCTGTGCTGCCCTGTGGCAGCTGCATTTGCTACAGATCCTGATCTCCTTATTTGAAAAAGCAGCAGTGTTTAAAAGTTCAGATTAAGTCATTATTGTCTGATACCTCTTTCTTGTTTTTCAAGTCATAGCAGTCAATCAAATAATTAGTGGGCTTAGCCAGGTGTTTCCAAATCGCCTGAGCTCAGGATGAATTTACTGGAAGCTGACCTCAAGGTGGCTTTTCATTTCACACATGAGCAACTTATTGATGATCTACAATCCCCAAACCAACATTTTCCACTCATGGAGACAGCTTAAATCACCTAATGAGTATGCTGGCCTTTCAGTTTCACCATATAGCTATAAGAGACCGCATATAAAGGTGCACAGTAATTTGTAACATAGACAGGAGCTATGGAGTTGGCTTTGCACTCCTCAGTCATGTTGGTGAGCATCTACCCATTCAAGGAGTTGCGTGCAAGTCAAAGGTTGTCAGCCAGAGTCTGCTGTTCTTATCCATGCCTACTAGCAACTACTTCAGTGAGTGGTCCCTTTGAAATGAAGAGGACCATTTCTTGACTGAAGTGAGATTTATTACAATGCCGAAGTGGCAGAATGTGACACTCAGGGGTTCTTACGACTTAAAATTGACTTCTACATGTATTAGAATGATAAAAGAAGTAATAATACAAGAACAACAAAAAGAAATCCTTAAAATAAAATTACAGATTTATATTCTCTCTCAAACCTCCCATTGCTTATTGAGAATGTGAGAAACACATCAACAAAGTACAGAATTAATTACTTCTAAAAATTGCAGCCAGCACAGCCAAATGAAGGGCTGTTGTAAATTCAAAAGCTAATTTTCCTGAGTGGTAGGTGATTGCTGGAGTTGTGAGTTCACGAGCCTAGCGCTGTGAAGAAAGAAAAGCAGTGCAGTTCATTTAAACATAGAGAATTTGTTAGGTAAAAGAAATAGCACTTCTAAAAAAATAAATACTGATCCATCACATCATCTCATCTCCATTTTTAATAGCAGTATGTTTTGTCAGGAAAACTATTGATTATTTATAACAACATATTTTAACAGTTATTCAATAAACGGTTTTGCTCTTGCTGTTCCATTGCTCTGCAGCCAGGCTTCTCTACAGCTATTATTATCAGAACATGTTTACTCCTGGTTCTGGTACAGAATACAGTAATTTGGTTATTTACAAGGGAACCATGAAGCCAGCTATTAAACAGTGAAAACTGTACTGCTTGGTCCTAACAATCAAAACCAAAAGCCAGTTGTTTATCAGAGGTGTTTTAGCAAAAGGGAGAGCAAAATAGCACTTAGAATGAGGGACTTTAGCACATAGTGTTAACTGAAGAGCTGTTATCTTCAGTCATGTCACAGAAATATGAAAACACTCAAAAATGCAAAACTAGTGAAAGGCTGGACTGCTAAATTCTTGCATGCTGCCTTCTTTCAGAAGAGGCATGCATTTTATTGCAGAATTCACCTGCCTTAGACAACCTCTTGTCCTTCAGCAGGCATACAGCAACACTGGCTGCACTGTGTCACTCCCCTGTGCAAGTGAGCCTAGTGAAGGCAACAGAGCCAGGGGACACCCCGTGGCCACGCAAGCTCATCACGGACACTGTTCAGCTGTCAGAAATGCACCTGGCACGGGTATTTGGCAACTAACAGTCTCCCACAATGATTCCCAGGCATGGTTCTGGCCACAGACCAGACCCAATGGGGAGGTTGATGCGGCCACCCTAGCTGCAGCCACGCTCTCATGTAACCACCACATCTCAGGTCCCCAGGCACTTTGTGTGCTGAATCACACGCTGCTGGCACCGTGTCCCCACTGTGTGACACGTGGAGGCATGCAACCAACGTTTGCCAGCAGACACGCAGAAAATCACATCGCTCCCCAGCATAAGCACCCACTTGCTACAGGCTGGTACCTCGCTGGCTGTTCCCAACATTCCTGTGAAACACCTCTGTGAGGCTCTCTAGGCTCCAGGTCTCTGTTCCCGCACATACCTTGGGTTTGTGGAAACACATGGTTTCCTCATGGCTCTAATTTAGCCCTTACCTGCCCTCAGTCAAAAAGCCCAACTGCTCAGATAGTGACCGCCACTTCTAGCACCAGATGCTGTGTGAGATGCCTCATTCTCTTGATTTAGACTAAGTAGATCTGTGACTTTGGAAAATGCGTGGATTTTTGTTTTCAAAATTACCTCAGTTTCAGATATAAGTTACATTATATCTAACAGACTCCCTTTGTTCATGCTAAATGGCGATTTTTGCATTGCACAGCCTCCAATGTCTCCAAGCATTGTGCTGTTCATCAAGTCTCTCTGGGATTTTTTTCCAGTCAGAGGAAGAATCACAATTACCCTCATCAATGTAAATTGAGAAACGCTGTCACCCAATACCTTTTGCTCTGGAAAGTGAAGGTTTTGCAAAAGGCTGTGTAAATGTTATGCCACAGGTTTGTAAAGCCCTTTTTATCGCCACACAGGTTCAGGCAAATGTATTTGGAAAAGAAATGCATGGGGAATTTTGTTGTAGGCTGCCCCTAACATTACATTCCCCAAATTACAGTTTAATTCTGTGGGCCTTTTTACTGGTTTGATTTCCCTATCTCTCCAAGG